GATGGACGTTGCCTCTGAGACTTGAAAACAAAGGTTCTCAGCGGTGAAGCAGCCCTCTAACCCAGCAGACTTGGCCCAGAAACATACTGTGCAGAGTCCTCAGTGGTGACTTCCAGTCTTTCACAGGCTTAAGCTCACATCTTGCCAACAAGGTGTGGAGGCTTAAAAATGAAGTCTTCGTTTGCCCAAGAGGCCAGTGTTCTCAGGATTTATGTTTGGCATTAAAAGCCTCCCGTAAAAACAATTACCTCCTGGGGTGGGTGGGGGGCTTCTACACATTCAGAAAACATTCACGCCAAAACTTCGGGGTACCAGGGCTACCGCTGGCCTAACAGACTAGTGAGCTCAGAAGGACATCGGCCATGGCCACTTTTCCACTTCGAGTCGTCCTTTGCCTAATTAGTGTGGCTGGTAAAAGCTGAGCAGCTGAGAAGCCATTATAACCTTTGAATAGAGAAATTAAATCAGTTCCCCCCATAATCAATGAACAGGAGTCTCGAACTGAAACAAAATACAAGTCTTTGCTTTGTCTCCAGGAAGAGAAGCTTCCCAACTGCCACTTGAGCCAGCCATGGCTCTAATGTCCCAGAGGTAAAAGTATTACATGAAGTTACCAAAGACGCTCTGGTAACTCCCGTGTGAAAGAAACCTACTGTCGAGGCTTTGCGGGAAGGCACACACCTAGGGGGTCATGTCATCGAGCATTCCCATTCACGGCCCCACCACGTGAACCCTTAATTAATTACGGTTGTCGCAATGTGAAAAATCCTTTCATAACAGAAAGGCAACCGGTTCTCATACATAAGCCAACCACAAATCAGTCACAACTCCCTAAACACCGTCAAGGAGGTGCTCAATTTGTATCTGCGATGAGCTTCAAGTGTTGCATAATTTATGCCTAAGATCCACTCCCATACATCTACTGAAATACCCACTCTGACCTTCGCTCCCAATCCCAACCGCATTAAAGAGGGGCTATAAATCACTGGGGCCCAAGCCCCCAATCACAGCCCCGCTCTCCCAAAGCCAGGCAAGCCTTCTTCGTTTGATGAGTCCATCATCCCCTTGACCAGGTTATGAAAGCTGCATCTCGAGATAATAATTCAAAGGCTCTTACATCGAGGTCCATTGTCTGCACAGGATTGCTAAATGGGCAGGTAGACAAATGTCGCCTCTCTGGTCCCACAGAACCTTACATTCATCCCTGCCTCGAGAGCACCACCCTCAGATCCTGCTGGCCCTGTGCAGCAGACCTCGTAGTCACAGAGCTCAGCTCCCATCCCATCAAAATCTCGTGTCCAGGGCAGCCTGAGGTAACCGCTAGCTCGCACCGCCTTTGCTTTGCCTTGCACTGGAGGACAGCATTGTGCTTGCTCTGTTTTGCCATAGATGACGTTTAAAACTGCTCAGGGCTGGGCATGATGTGGCTCAGTGACAGGACGCTTGCCTAAACAAGTAACAACAAGGTTCTGGCTTCAACCTCCAGCACTGAAAAGACTGGAAGATTCTCAAACTGGCTCTCCTACGGAGGCCAATCATGTGACACTCACCTCTCCAAATCCCTGTATGTGTGGGGCACCAGAAGCCCTGCAATAAATAGGTACCACAAAAAGACTTTTTTTTCCCCCCAACAGCTCCCAGGGAGTTTTGAAAAAAATTCAGGAAAAACTGAGAAAGACTTTCCATCAACTGTCACCCAGTAGTGCGGCAGCTTGGGATTATCCCCAGCAAACCTCATGTCTAGCCAGGGAGGTGACAAAGACTCTGGGAAAGTGGCCAAGCTGGCTACAGAGCAGGGACCTCCGAGAGCCAGAGTCCAGAGAAAATGTTCTTAGGGTGACATTGATCTGCCCTGTTCAAGGGAAAACATCAGCTGACTCCAATGTGAGGTTTGGCCAAGGCCCTGTCCCCACTGGCCTTAAAGTCCCTTTGCTAATAGAGATATAACTTGTGTCACGACTACAAGGCAGTTGCTCTGCCAAAATTTTTCAGCACAAATAAAACACAGGAAGGAAAAAAAATTCATCTCATCCACCAGATGCAGCAGAATTAGATATGTTCTGTCACCAAAGAGGAACCCATATCTGTCTGTCCCTCTCTCCCCTCCACTTGTGCCACAGAGCATCTTCCTGGCTTCTTTTTCTATTCTTCAGTGGTTACTTTTTCCTCCACACCTTCAGATGTGCTCAAGGAGACAAGTCAGCCCCAAACCAGCTTGATTATTCTTCTGCTCCTATAGTTCTGGATCAGGAAAACATCTCTGGCCCCTACCACCCTACGGGACAACTCCTTATGGCCAAATGAGGGTCCAGAACCCCAAGATATACAAAGAAGCCTTCCAAAGTCAAAGAAGTTCTGATATTTTTCTATTGAAGGACCGCCAAGAGCAGAAGAAGCAGACATTTGAAATACAAGAAGGAAGAGAAACCAGCTCAAGATGTCTCTTCACCCATCTCAGCCTTTGAAAGTCCTGAGATTCTATCATCAAAGCCAAACGCCCTGGAAAGGAAAGTGGAGAAATCCAGAGGAGAATAAGAATCAAGAAGCAGTAGGAACTGGGAATATAGTGAACTCAGTAAGTGCTTATCTAACAAGAGTGAGGACCAAGGCCAGGTTACCAGAGCCCACATAAAAGGTACTGGAAGGGGGAGCACAGACTTGGTAATCGCAGTGCTTGAGAGGCAGAGATGGCTCCCTGGGGCTTGCTGACTAGCCAGTCTTGGTGAGCCCAAGGCCAGTGAACATTCCTCCCGGAAAATAACACCATAGGGTGTCCTCTGAACTCCTCATGAGTATGTACACAAATACCTTTGTATGTAAATAAATATGGAGATAATAAATAAAATAGGCAGGGTACAAGGCACAAAGGCCAGTGAAAAGGAAGATGCTACTATGGGTTAAAGCCATGTTCCGCACCCCCTTCCTTAAAGGAAGATGAAACTGAGGCCTGCCGCAGGAAGAAAAAAAACACACCTAGCAATTGCTAAGTCTCTGAAAGATGTTAAGACAGATTCCACGTGGATCAATTTGCAGTCACTTGGAGCAAGATGTGGCAGAGAGAAAGTCACCAGCAAGGTTTTATGAAAGAAAGTTATTAAGTGGCAGGCAGGTGTAAGAAAGCAATAGATTATATCACTATACTCTCCGTTGGGCTCTGGGTTCTCTTATTGCCAACAGCAACCTAAGAAACTGGGCTTTGAATGACAGACTTCGGATCCCATGGCTGGAGAAGACAGGAGGTCTGCTTTGGAAAAAAAAAAAAAAAAAAAAGCAGACAGGGGACAGACAACAGCAAGAGAAGTGAGGTCAAGCCCCAGGCTGTCCCCATCTGGTGAGGGTTGGGGGATGAGATGGGGGGTCAGCAGTGACCCAGCTTGGGTACCTGGGAATCTGAGACCTTGATTTTTGAAGTCACAGAGGGGGGCTGGGGCTGTAGCTGTGTTGGGAAAGTGCCTACCTAGAAACATTCAGTCCCCGCACTGTATAAACTATGCATGGTGGAGCCCTCCTGTAGCCCTTGGGTGGTGGCATCAGGAAAATCAGGAGTTCAAGGTCATTCTGGGCTGTGCAGAGTTCAAGAGCAGCCTCTTTGGGAGACCCCGTCCTGCGAATCCCAGAAATAACTCTCTTTGGTATCTACTGCTATTCACAGCTCCTGCTCTTTGGGTTTGAAAATAGTTCTGACTGAAGCCAACGCTGAGAAGAAAACAAAATCAGTCTGCCTAACTCTTCCAGCACAGAGGCTGCCCCCCACCCCAGCACCTCTGGAATTCATATTTCCTACAAGTGTTCTCCTGAAGCAGAAGCCTAACTGATGACTTTACAAATTCATTCTAAGTTCCTAAGTTTGATAAGATTTTTTTAACGGGGAAAGCTAACTATCCGTGTATTGAAGTGACTATGTTTTGTTTTGTTTTGTTTTACTCATTTTATTTTTTTTTTATTTTTGTATTAATCACAGGTTATTTACTTTGTATCTCAGCCGTAGCCCCCTCCGTGACTATGTTTTTGCCCTTGGTGGTGCATGCTAACTATTGCTAGAGTGATTGTTTTTCTCAGTTTTCTGGAGAAGAAAGAATGTGTGCCTGTTGTCTACAAACATTCATTTTTATCTTCCCTCTTTCTGACTCAAGGGTCCCCGTCTAGATGACGAATAGCACTTGCTCTATCTGTGGACCACACACAGAGCCTCCCCCTCCACCCAGTTTCCCCTCTCCTAATCACCTGCTGCCTTTTTTAGACCATTACACTGCCATCACACCACAGGCCATTAATAATTTATTCTTTGTGTCACACTTACTTCCAAGAGAGATTTAAGTGGTTTGGTGTGAAGCTAAGTGACAAACATTTACTGGAAGCTTAGAAGCTTCCAGGAGCCAGCCAAGGTGGACAGGGCCTGAACTCCCAGCCCTCGGGAGGCTGAGGCAGGAGGATCTCAAGCTCAAGTAGCCTGAGCTATACATAAAGACCTGTCCCAAATAAATAAGTAGTTAACTTTAATATCACCTGAGGATATGCATACGCACAAAGCCTGCCTTACAGACTTTTATTTGGAAAACTTTAATTCCCAGGACACACATGACAGAAGGAGAGAAAACTTAGTTCCAAAAGTTGTCCCCTCACTTCCACAAGTGCGCTATAGTAGGTGAATATGGATATGAATGTATTCTCTCTCTCTCTCTCTCTCTCATACACACACACACACACACACACACACACACACACACACACACACACAAATAACTAAAAAAGCCTAAAGGCAGTGAAAAATCATCAGGAAAGGATTACTGAATTTTAACACTAACTTTACCTTTGACCTTTCCGATAGTGAAACCAAAAATTATGCAATGTGTATATAACCTTTAGTCATGTTGCCTAAAGACCTGTAGCTTTGAAACAAAAGATGCCTTTTGTCTTTCTTGTGCTAGCCTCCAGAGAATTTAATTACAAACTCAGTAAATATACACTGAGCGCCTACTAAGTCCCAGGCATTATTCTACATGCCGGAATACAAAAGTGCAGACACACAAAAGTCCCTGTCCTTGGACCTCGATTACTGGCTCACCGGTAAGGTGAGCCAGGTACAAATAAAATAGAGACTGTGTCATACAGTGATACATGCTATGAGCTCATAGAGGGGCTGCAGTTTTAAGGTGGCATTTAAGGACACGTGTGAAGAGAAAGAGGGAGGAGTCAAGAGGATATCTTAAGAGTTTTCAGACACAAGCAGATTGGCACATAAGACCAGAGCGGTGCTGGCAGCATAGTTGTCAGTGAAGGACAAGTCAAGAATGGGCCAGAGAGGAAATCAAAGGGGCACACAGGGGACAGACAATAGAAAGAGAAGTGACCTAACTTGGGTACCTGGGAATCCTAGGCCAAATGGAAGCCACGGAACAGGGCTGGGGTTGTGGCGGAGGAACGGGAATAGAGACCTTGAGTTTTCTATTTCCAAGAAGGAGAAGAAGAAAAGCTATGGGAAATATGACCAGACATGTTGCAAAGAACTACTCTCTTTGTTGGCTATAGATGGAGAGAATCAGAAGACCAATTAAGAGCCTTGTGCAATTTCCCAGAGAAACAGAAAGTGGTAAGAAATGGTCAGCTTCTGGATGTGTGTTTGGGTAGAGGAACTGGGAGTTAAAAGCACATTCTTCTGGGAGACGGAAGAGCAAGGTGCATCTAGGTGCTTGATCTGAGCAGTGCAGCAGCTGTTTACCAAATGACAGACACTAGAGGAAGGACAGCTTGGGGAGGGGCCCCCACGGTCTTCCCCCCACACATACACCAGTCCGAGCCACATGGAATGGGATGTTCCTCTTGGACACCCAGGGAGAAAAGCCAAGTCAAGCTGATGGCCGCATAAATGTGAATGACATCTCTGTGGATGCTTATGGCAAACCCCTGAAAACCTTTGTTCCATCACCATTTTCCTATCAGCCCCACAATACAAGCAAAGCATGTAGCCTTTCATGATAGCTGAGCAGAAGCAGCCATGATGGAGCTAGGGAAAAGGCTCAGTTAGGTGGGCTTGGCTACTTCCTAACACCTACATCAGGGAGCCGGTCACCCCAGTCCTGAAGGATTCCATACACTCTGTCCCCCCCAAGCACCTGCAACCATATAATACACATAAAACCATACAAAGACACACATGTACACAGAAATCTAAGAATAATAAGAATAATAATAAAAAAAAAGAGCCGTAGAAACCTCAAATGACAGATGAATCCAAGCCGAATCCCCAGTTGACAAGCTAGTGTTCAGCAATAACTCAGAATCACCCCAGTTAAGACTTGAGCATCAGGGACTTATCTGGGCAGATATCAGTTAATCCTTTCCTCCAGACATTAGTAAGAGTCTGACCATGCCTACCAGTCTAGAGAATACAAGGAATAAACCATTGTCAGAAACATGGCAGAACTATCAAAAGAACATAGCAGCATCAAAAATGGGGAAGTACATTACTCTTCAGCTGTGTGTCCCAGGACTGAAAAAAAATACAACCTTTTGAAATAACTTAAAACCCAGATTTTTTTCTGTCTCACTCAATCTGCATTCCCAACATCCCCTGACACAGGATAGGCACATAGTAGGTGTTTAGAAAAATCTCCGCAGGGCCTGGGGACATGGCTCAGTAGTTAAGAGCACTGTCTGCTCTTCCAGAGGTCCTGAGTTCAGTTCCCCAGCAACCACACGGCAGCTCACAAGCAGCTATGCTGGAATCTGATGCCCTCTTCTGGCATGCAGGTGTACATGCAGATAGAGCACTCATACACAGAAAATGAATAAATCTTTAGAGAGATAGAGAGAAAGAGAATCTCCACAAAGAAATGGCCCCATTTCTGAAAAACAAAACCTATGGGTACCGTTTTGTGGAAGACTTTGCTGTAACAATGTCCCAGATTCCAGACACCAGGTTGACAGGCAGTGAGCCCTCAGAACCCCTCAGATGAGGTAAAGGCACTGCTTGAAGAGACCGACCTGAAAACTTTTCTTGGTGCACACACCAAGCACACTTTTTTCTGTTTGTTCGAAATGGGGGTTACAGGGACCTGTAACCGTTCTCCCGGGCCAGCCCATGCAGCATAACTGACACAGCAGCCCAATAAGTTCTCCACTCTCCTGCCCAGCAAAACCTGCACGAACCTAGCCTTGAATCTTCCCGTGTGCTGCAGAGGCCCTTGAGAGACCACCCCAAGAACTCTTAGTACACAGAGTGAGTCCTCTGCCTCCTGGCTTCATCTCAGATCTCCAAACTGACATCCTGATTTATGTTTTCCTTCTGTCTTCTGCATGTCTTGGTACAAAGGGCCAGAAGGTGGTCACTTGACCACTTTCCATTTGCCAATTCTCATGTGGGTCTGTGTCCCTATTTCTCTCAGCAGAGTCTCCTTTTTCTTGTTCCCACGAATCTGGCCCAGGACACTAAGACACACTAAGAGCCAGGAACACATGATAAGCACACGGTCCTCATGATTCTTTAGCCTCCACAGAAACCTGCAGCTTATACAGCGTGGTAGACTCAGAAAAGAAAGAAGAATTGCGATTACAAAGTTAGGTGAGAACATGATGGCCTTCTTAGAGGGAGGAAGCCACTGCAAATTATCACACTTCAAACATAACCAGCTCTTCCTTCTTACGAAACTTCTGTGCAAACCAGAAATAAATCCCCCCCCCAACACACACATACACATGCACGCACGCACGCACGCACACAAATAGACCTCCTTGCTCATCCCAGCTCACCCTACAAGGGTAGCCAGTCCATTCACAGAGTCACAACATGAATTTCGCCAGGGTCCCCTGTCCCCTGACTCCAGATCAGTCCCATGCTTGTGTTCCCTTGCGGCAACTCTGTCCCAGGAACAGCACTCAGAGGGGCAGAGGTGACATCTGGGTGCTAAGAGATATTGAGATACAGATCCCGGGGAACCACCTCCTTCCAGCCAGGATGCCCTGGGAGGCACTCCTACTACCTTTTCACCTTAGCAGCCAGACTACCCTGTCCCTTCCCTCCCCCTCCTTTGGCTGGGAATGAGAAGCTGGAGGTCCGAGTTGTAGAATGCCTGAAACAACAGAGAAGAGATGCGTGTTCCGTCCCCGTGGTAACAGAGAGAAGCCTGAACTCAGAGACTGGAAGGGCGCAGCTGACTTGCGGTCAGGATCCAGTCTTGGGTAAGCCTGCCTGAAAGCCCTAGAGCGCCGGAAGTAAGGGGGAGGAGAGTCTGGGGTGACTGACAGTCCAAAGTCGGAACAAAGATACATCAAGTGCCCCCGCCCAACCCCTTTGTTGCTCTTTTTCTTCCTGGACCTGCTCTGCCTTGACCTTTCAGTTCCCTGCCTTGACCCCACCCTCCCCTTGTGAAGGGCGATATTTACTAGTGTCATAGGAATAACGGAGGAGTGAGTCTGTCCCCTCCAGAAAACCCAGGCCCTGAAAAGAAAAAAAAAAGCCTCAGTCTGAAACTTGTCTTGCCCAGGCCTAGCCCTGCGACCCAAGGCAGGTCACTCAGTTTTCTTCAACCCAACTCCAGCCCCGCCTCTCACCTCTGTCAGGTGGGAGGGAAACCTAGCCTGGGGGAGAGGGGAGAGGGAGCGCCCAAACTTTGGCTTTTAACAAGTGTTCTGTGCCAATTGGAGTCTCAAAGTCACCCTCCTTGAAAGACGAAATTTCAATACATTTGAAATCCTACTTTAAAAAAAAAAAAAAAAAAAAAAAAAAGCTGTAGAAAATATACTTTTAACAGGTTAACGGAGCACCGAGCTGTCTCTTCTAAACACTGCAGTGATTTGGTGCACAAGGGTTCAGCGGAACTTTGGGAATCTAGGGTTTGCCCCAGGAGGGTCTGACTGTGGACCCAGATCAGCTCCAGGCAGAGATCACAAAACAAAACCTGCCAGAGAGCTAAATAACAGGACTTACAAGCCAGCAGTAGGACTTCCTGGCTTTCTCAGAGAACGCTGTAGGACTCCCCAGTCCATTACAGAAGTGAGATTTCCTCCCATGCTCTAAACACCTGCTGCCAGAAGCCCAGTGATCCCCAAGGACCCCGTGGTCCCTTCATCTTGTCCTCCTCCTTTTGTCAGTGGTCTGAGTCCATCGCTTAGCTTTTTAGCTTTTCCCCACTGAGGAGGTTAAGTTGGATGAAACATCCGAACCGTTTGCAGTAGGCCCCCTGCACGCCTCTCTTCTGCAGCTCATCAGTTCAGTGCACAGACTTCTGTTGAGACCCTACAGTGAGCCAGGCTCTGTGGTGGAATAGCGTCCTGTGAGCGTCCTGTGTGCCAACAGACACGAGCCTTGCGGAAGGACAGTGAGGGAGCTGGGGAGTAGAGACACGCTTGCTCCTCGGGAACCTGGAAGCAAGAGGAGCCTGGGAGAGCAGTCCCTGATCAGGCAACCAAGCTCTTGCTCTCTTTCTAGAGTGGCAGGGTCATGTGATCCATGACCTGTCCGAATGTCTGGCCTCTTACTACTAAATAGTGGCCAGGCTGACTCTTAGTTGAATGGCATAGCACTAATAACAGAGCCTGTGTTGTGGTTTCAATGATAAATGTCCCCGACAAGCTCATGTGTTTTGAACACTTGGCTTTCAGCTGGTAGCGCTGTTTTGGGAGCTTGGGGAACCTGTGGGACATAGAGTTACTAGAGGTTTTAGTTGCCTCTGGTCCCAGACTGTGTTCTCTGTTTCCTGCTCCAGGCTCTGTGTGAAAGAGCCTGCCAAGCACTCCTAGTCCAGGGAGACTTTCTGTCATGCCTTCCTCATCATGATGGACTGATCCCTCTGAAACCAGGAGCCCAAACAAACCTTCCCTTAAGACATTCCTCTCAAGTATCTTGTCACATCAATGAGAAAAGTGACTAAGTCATCGCCTTCTGGGCACATCAAGTCTGACAGGAAGGATACAGGGAGAGTTTTTAATTAACTGGCTTGTTTGGTGTCCCCAGCTCGGTTGAAAGTGATCCCACAATTACCTACCCAAACCAGAGCTGGGGCTGGCTGTCCACTGTCCCCCAGTGTCTTTTGTGGCAAATATATTACAGCTTCAATTTGTGGTAGAAT